TAAATAATTTATTTTTAAGATTTTTAACTGTTACCAATGGTAACAATGGTTACATGGACGCTTTTCCACTGCTCACGAAGTTGCAGTAGCCTGGAATGAGATACCTCAACAGGATATCGACCACCTTATCAGCACGATGCAGAGGCGCGTTAATGAGTGTAGAAGAAATCGTCAACACATCATTGAACCAGCTTCGGCAGTCAGTTGACGAATCAAGCTGAAAATTTAATCATTTTACTACTAAGGGACACTCAATATGCGATATATGCCAAAAATTATTAAAATCGGATAAACATACGTAGGTATTTACCTTTCTTTGTCACTCAGTATACATACGCTTCCGACCCCGGTAATTCTACGTACCGTACATATCATACATCATAGATTTCTCCATACGTTCGCCCACTTGTTCGTAAAAAACTTTTTTCTGAATTTGACTGACTTATGCCGAATATAATCCTTAATGAACTAATAACGGCGATGCGTGGATAGTGTAGAGTCAACCTACTTGACGTCCTTTTTTTATCATTGCCCACTACAGATGACAAAATATCATTCCCATGTCAAAAAGAAATGTTTACATTGTGAGAATTTTTGAATTTGGTATATTGTTTTTATATATAGGAAAAATCAATGTGATTTATTGACCTCCTCTATAACTCTATGGCCTAGTACTTCGTATTGGTCAGTGATGGTGAACCTATGCGTGTCAGTGCTGACACGCGAGCTCAATTTTGGTGACACGTATCTTCAACGATAAAAATGTCATAATTCAAATATTTGTCATTGGCAAGAGTTGGTTATTAATAATAATATTATTACTCCTGAATTTATATTACTTGATTTTCTGTGCTAAGTGTCAATGAAATATGTAAAAAACAAATGTAAATCATTGGTTTCATAATTTTGGTTTTTGTATTTTAAATGGCATTAAACAAATAATTAACTTACAAAAATTATAAATATTTCTATCCTTTTTAGCCTTTACTTTTGTGAAATGTGACACGCCACGAAAATAATGTTTAGATTTTTCAAATTCATGACACGCCGAGCTCAAAAGGTTTGCCACTAGTGCCGCAGGTAGTCAAGCGCAAGTTTTGTGCATATATGATGTTCTATGCCCGTTTACACCGTGACAGTGAGCTTTATAAGCTCTTGACTACCAACAGTGTAATAACACAGGTCCACAAAAAATAAGTGCTGTGTGCTGAATCTGAAGTCAGAAGTGGGGGTCGATGAACAAATATTAAAGTGATTTCGACGTCTAGAATAAAGATTTTTGTATTTTTGGTGGATGTGTACTTATTCAGAGATCTCTGCTGGATACCTATCCTCCACAAAATGCCATGATTTGTATGTTGATGTATAAATTACTCTTATATTTACCACCAATCACAAATTCTGACTAACATACGAAAATATAGCGGGACGCGCCAGTTTTCATTTTGCTTCCTACGCCAGCGAGGAAGTATTGTAAACGAAAAAAAATTCGAAAATAAGATATTGTGCTTTTTGGATGTTATATGACATGTACATCACGAGAAACTATGTCCCTCATTTCCTTTGGTCTGTCTGTCTGTATGTCGGTCTGTAGGTCTGTCTGCTAATCCTTGGCCAGTCTAGAACATTTGATGGTATCACTAAAAATATGTTGATAAACGTGTTCTCTTTTTGTAAACATCAGCTAAATAGTATCGTAAACCAATCACTGAGTACAGGGCAAGTGCCATCATTATGGAAAAAAGTAGTCATAACACCACTTGCAAAAGCTAACAATGCCATCGATTTTAAGGACCTCAGACCAATAAGTGCTTTATCTTCAATGTCCAAACTGTTTAGAGAAATTGTAGATGAAGAACTTCGTGAGTATCTAGAAATCAACAAAGTGTTGCCCGACACCCAGTCTGGGTTTAGGAAATTACATAACACATCTACAGCGCTCATTAAAATTACCAGTGATATAGTGAAGTTTATAGACGGTGGCATGATAAAGCACCATTATGGTTTGACTGGAAATACCATGCTGTGGTTTGGTAATTACTTGTTTCACAGATCTCAATGTGTAAAACTGCGTAGTAAAGTGTCTACTTTACGAGCTTTGAAATCTGGTGTTCCACAAGGAAGCGTTTTAGGCCCTATTTTATTTACTTTTTATACCTCAGATTTGATAAAACATATATCATCTGACTGGAATGTACATTTGTATGCGGACGATGTACAAGTTTACAAACCATGTCAACCACCCGATGTAAATTCTTTAATATTAGAACTTAATAAAAAAATTTAGACATAATTGAAAAGTACTCAAAAAATCATTGTTTGAAGTTCAATCCCTTGAAAACCAAAGTATGTTGTGTTGGTTCTAGACTAGCAAGTAATAAATACGAACATATTTTTAGAAGGTATTAACATTGAATTTGTTGAAGAAACAAAAAATTTGGGAATAGTACTTGATAAGAATTTAGGTTTTGAAAGTCACATTATAAATAAGCTCAGAATATGTTATTATAAATACAAATCGCTATGGAGATATAAGCATATATTAACAAGTGATATCAAACTAAAGCTTGTTAATGCATTAAACCTCACACAATTAGATTATTGTATTACCCTTTTATCACTGAGTAAATGCAACAGAAAATTCAGATGCGAACACATTACTGGGTATTATGTAAGGGAAAATCTTTCAAATATCGCTCGTTACTTCTCGATGCTGATCTACGATTTAGGGTTTTAAAATATAAATCTTCGAAATAACGTTTTGACACATAAGAGAAAAGATCTTCACTGCATCAACTGTTCCTCCGTAATGAATATTGTTATAATATACCAGCCCACACTACCTCAAAATTTAAAAAATGTTTCTATTCCATAGCTCCCATTATACTAAATGATTACACAATTTTCTTTAAATTAACGTAAATTCACAGCGTCAAAAGAGAATTCAAAAGAATGCTATTACAGTTACAATTTAATGAATCTACAGGTGGTTGAATAAATCTCATTATTAATATTATTATATTTTAAAGTTTTTTTAGCATATTATAGTCAGATACATTTCCTTTATGTAATGTATATACTATGCCCTAGTATGATGAATTTACCTTAGCTATTCAGGCGGGGGTGAAAAATGGCTATGCCATTGCCAATCCCCAGCCCTTTGGAGTATTATGTTTTTTGGTGTTATATTATTTGCTCGTATTTTGATTTTATTATGTATTAATACTCCAATAAACATTATTATTATTATTATTATTATTATTCTTATTATTCTTATTAAATTTCCATACAAGGTTGCTACTGTACCAAGGACGAAAAAGCTTTGTAGTTTTTGAAAAACGATTCAGTGGCGGCGGAGGCAAAAGTCACAAACAAAAAAAAAAGTAAAATCGCTCAAACCTCATCATATTCAACAAATTTTGCGGGGTTTGAAATTCGGGGGTTGGGGTTTGTTTCAGGGGGTGGTATTGAAAATTTTTTAATCTCAATATGTTTGTACGCTCACAACCCCTGTAACTCTATGCACATATTAGCCGTATTCCACGCATCATAGATTTCAAAGTACATTTGACTTTGAACCTAAGAATGATAAAGCAAGTGCAGAGTCATAGTACTTGATGTCATGTTTTTTGCGAACATGTGTTTCATGGTGATGCTTGCTATCGTTTTGATGCGCTTTTTCTGAACTTTTTGAGTAACTATCAAGAATGAAATTGAACTGCTACTGGTTCTAATTAATTAAAATTCAAACCTAAATTCAAGGAATTAGCACCTCGGGTATGAAAGAAGAACTAGAGATATAAGATAAGTTGTATGAGATCAAGAAGTTGAGATAGTTTCATCATCAGAATTATTAGTGAGCTATTAAAACATACTAAATTGATCAATAATGAAGTCAAAATTATGGTACCAAAAATCTAAATAGCAACTGTATGAAAATTTAGTGGAATGATGACCTGAAGGAGATTGAGAATTTGAGCGCTAAAGAACGGAGAACTCACGAGGTTTATTTCCTCGAAATCCAAGCAAAGAACTAAGCACTTGCCTTTCCAGGATGATCCACTCAGATCGAGAGATCAGACAGATGGTCACTCATTTAGTGGAGTTGCATTTAAAAGAGGCAATTCTAGAATCTGTACAATCAGATCAAGAAATTATTGTCTCCTTACGAGCTGTTCTATGGAACACCTACGGATTTGACTGGTGGGAGAGGTGGACAGTCATTAACATTAACTCTTTCGGCTGTAATTTACTTGAAGTCTTCAACATCTATTACAGTTGAATATTTCATTTTATTACATCTAATTTGTCACATTCATATTCCGATAGTCGAATAAATATTACCGTTCTACGAATACCATTTTTGTTTTTGCTTTTGTGCTGTTTTGCGGCGCTTTCCCCATTTTCAGAATAAAGTTTCCGTTGGAAGGTTGTAAACTTTATTGGTTGTGGTAGTTTGGTCCACTTACAGATGTCTTGACATCTATTTCAAAAGAGTTTGCATTATGGAAACTAAGAAATCATTTCTTAGAAAATGCACAGATGTATCTTAGTAGCCTCATTTTGCAGTGTAATCAGTGTAATAATGTTATTTCTCTCTTTCTTGTCCTAATCTTTGTGTTTTGGGATTCAATGCTGCACGCAGACGATTCTATACAGCCATTCTTCAGGGCTTCAAAATACGAAAAATAAATTTTGACAAAATACAAGTATACCAAATAACAAACAAAAAATATAAGACGATGGGTGCATGTACAAATAGAGAAACTTCAATAGATGAAATATCACTAATTTTAATGAAGTTGGTAGTTGAACTGAATCACCAAAGGGCCTGCGATATGCGTTTCATACTCACAGAAAGGGATTGATTCACTGTTGCATGTAGTGCTAAATACAATTCTGGTATTATTTGAATATGACCCGACATATCGAACAACGTTCTTTATTCTAGGGAAAATGGCGTCAAGTAGGTTGACTTTGAATTTGAAATTTGATTTTAGGTATGGCCTCATGTCAAAAAAGGAGTTCCTATGCCGAACGATAGATGGTGTGAAAGGACCAGATCGAAGCGGTGTCCTGGACGAGGCAGAAACCGAAAGAATACTGGAACACATCAGGAAGCGCGGAAAAAACAATCCTGGCGAACTACCTTTCAAGGGTTCAGTACCTAGAAGGGCTTCAAATGGCAAACACTGGATGTTGCATTCTGGAATGACCAGTACGAAAGGCACATGTGACAAGTTCATCATCAACTTTCTTACATGCTGGACTGCTGTTTTTGACTGAATTATCTGCATCCTAACCAGGCCAGGCAATAGAAAATAAGAGGGTTTCAATAGGGACACTACCAGAAAATAGGTTTGGGATAGTAAATTACACAGGTCGACGCTTACCCAGAAACCAGAATATACTTTCCCGAAGGCTTTTGGCTCTAGTTTCCGAGACATCCTATCCTGAAAGTACAAGAATAGCAATTTTGCCTATTTATGAGGATATGTAGCATGGTGAATTATTTTTTCAAAAGACCATAGACAGTCTGAAAGTATCAGATACAAGCCTTGTCTTTTCAAATGCCGTTGAGGTTTGCTCAAATATATTTTTCTTTCGCTGAGATATGGCACTTTGAACCTTTAATTTTTCTGATCTGGATCGGATCATCTTTTATCAGAAGAACTTATTTTTTATTTTAAGAAAAGTGTGTAATCGAAAGTAAAAACATTAAACTCGGCTTTGATAGGGTGGAGTGGCATGTGGTTTGCTAAAATTCAGATATTTCATTGACTACTTATGGGTTTTTTTAGTTGGCAGATCGTAATTCATAAAAGTACTTGTTATTACATTTTTGATTTATTTCAATACAAACCTCAATTTTGATGCATAAAGTGCAGTATACCAAATACTAGTACAGTGAAATTGCGGAAAATTAAAATTTTAAAGCGAAAAAAGGGCATTTGAAAGGCTTGTGATTTGAAAAAACGTCTATAATTGAAAAAAATATTTCACCATACTCGGAAACCAGAGCCAATTGATAGATCTGGACCACGGATGATTTCAATTCGGCGCATCAGAAACCTTCAGGAAAGTATACTCTGGTTTTTTGGTAAGAATCTCGACGTCCTGTCTTATCACATAGAGGTTTCTATGGGCCGGCCCAGAAACAGTTGTAAAACTTTTAAAAATTCCATGTATCCGAACTAAACTAGATGAACTTGAAAGGCCTCTATTTGTATTAACAGTATAGTGATTTGGAGGAAAATGGATGACTGGACTACAAAAAATCAATTTACTATCTTTTTATCATTATCTCATCATTATCATGTGTAGTTAATATTTAAAAATATAATTTCTGAATGAGGGGCCTTCCAACTTTATCTAATGAATTTTCGGGTATTAGGCCAGAATTTTTTTAATATTTGATCCATATAAGTCTAAGCTCCCTTTATACCAAATTGCTGTCTTTCGTCTGTTGACTATACTACTAAGCATGCATTTTCTTCACTCTACGAAACACACAAGTTCATAGGATATTGTACATGTATCAGTTGAATGTCATTTTTTTCTGGTGGAATTTCTACGGGCCAAACAAGTAGTTGTGTACCCTCAACTCACGTAAGAAATTTTTGTGATATGTAATACTTCACTACCGCCATCTCGAATCACGTTTGGGAATTTTTAGAAGGCTTTAGCGCATACAGTGAATATAATACTAGCTTCAAAACAATAAGAGTAATTTTCAGCATTTTTCATCACATTCGATGTTAGGCAGAAGTAGTGAAGGAGGGATTGTCTATAGAATTAAATGATTTTTATCTTGCAAAGATAGGACGGGAAATAGTCCACCTAGTATCTTCGTATCTGCTCGGCAAAATATCATGATTTGGATTTTTGCATAATCTTATCCTAATCTGTATGTTGGCAAACCCAAAATGCGGCAAAAACAATTGTTTACACATTTTTTAATAACTTTTATAAATTGATTATTGCGCCCCGGTCAGCATTTTTAGGTTTACCTGGAACATTGTAAATAAGGCAGATGTTTTAAATATTTTTTTCTCTACCGTTGACAGTTTTCCAGATATAAGCGACTCAATATTTCAAAGTGTGAAACGCCATCTTTAACCCTGTAAAACAATATAAAAATTCGATAATGTTATCAAAGTACCTAAATATTCTTCAAAGATCCATTAATAAAGCTCCAAAGCATTTTAGGAGCTTATCGGAATAATTTACTGCGATAAGCCTTATATAAGTAGAGTTGTTCAGCTTTCGTTTGTTGTCGATCGAGACCAAGCCTACACCTGAGGAGTTGCCAAATAGCACGAACCAGTTGTTCAGGTTTGGCCGCCTGTGGTCGGACGAACGAAAGCTATATTACAAGCATTTTAGGGTGTACTGTTATTGTAAAACGTTTTTTTAGTTGCTAATCAAGTATGCGCTTATTTTTAGCACATCCTCCTCAGTCTGTGCAAGGCCCAGATAAGACCAAGCCTTGAGTACTGCTCACATGATTGAGGTTCTGCCAACTCGAATACATTGTCCACACTCGATGCTGTTTAGAGGTGGTAAACGATTTTGCATTCTTGTACCGCTACGTCAGCTGGGTTTGCCCCTCAGAGCTCTTCTCAATCATGACGCCGCACGTTGAGACTGCTAGACGTATCACCCAGGCTTCTGCCTCCCATCCCAGCTCTGTCGAACTTCACATATATGTACGACCACTCCTTCATTTCTAGGATGTCAAAATTGTTGTGGTCTGCTAATCTTGGCAGTTCAAAAATTGGACTATCAATGCAGCTTTAAGTTCCTTATAGCAGTCGTGGTGCTCCGGTAATTCGGCTTCTGTCTACGCGACGCTTGAGTATAAAAATGAAATTAAAAAACAAGAGCTTACAATAATGCGACCTAAAATGTTTGGGATTTTGTTAATCGATTTTGGAGGTCTGGCAACACTGTAGTTATCGTTCCTTAATATTGTTTTACGAATCGAAATTGGGACATCTTTTATTTTTGAAAATTAAATCGCTTATGTTTCGTACAAAATCATCTTTAGAAACATGTTTTGAAGCACCTTTTTTGTTCAGAATGTCGTAAAAGACTAAACACATTTTAATCGGAGCGATAAAAATATTTTTTTAAATTTGTTTACAAAAATCGATCAAACAAATATTGACACAATTTTGGGCTAGGCAACACGTAGATTTACTGAGAGGGGTTCTTTTTGAATGAGATTATGCAAAAAATCTGAATAAGAATAGTTTTCCGAGCAGATGTAAAGATCGTACCTGGTATATATAAAAAAAAACTTGACTGAATTAAAGTTTACATATGGCAGTAATTGAAAGAATTACATACTCAAATTTTTGCCAATAATAATCCGTACATCTCTAAATGTGATTTTTCTAATTAATCTACGATAACAATCAGAATGTACTCAATCTTCTTGAAGTTCAGCAACTCATTTTTTTCTGAAATTGAAACGTGAAAAAATACTTATTAATTGTCGTATATAACTTTGAAGATTGAGCAATATTCCTATATATGCATTCATACCGCACAACTGACAGAGGAATTTCACAATGGGTTGAGCTAGGCGATTATATCAATGCTGATTTACACAAGCCGTTAGCTATGACACACTATCACCCGCAATAACGTATATCCTAGAAGTTTTAGCACAAAACTTTTAGCACATACATTAGGATTTCATTTAAATGAGTAAATGCAAGTGCGCTTAATATAAGTTTTATTATCGAAATAAAGCAGCGCAAAGCGCCATCTATTACCAGAATCGACTACTGCGAGAGTGTATAGTAGCTACCGGCTAGAAGTGTACAGATCTCAGTTCGCGTTTGATAGACCCGTCACCCCTGTGACCGATAGATGGATGACGATTCTGGCGGTATAGTAGATGTGGTCTACTCACCATTGTTTTTAAGTTGCCAAAAAGCGCAAAACAGCTAACCAAAGTTTTCGCATTAATCTTAGTCCATTGATATTACCTCTAAAGGTAGGCAGTGGCGCGTATCGACCTAGTCTGAGCCATTGTGAAAAACGCGTATCAAAAAGCAACCAATTTTGATCAGCAACTGATATCTTTGTCTGTTTATAACTTTAGGCGTGGTTATGCCTGAGTTTCACTATCTACTTCTAGCTTTTCAGAATAGCCCCCATTATTACAGGTAATGTATTCTTAAGATTTTAGTCACTTATTGGTCTGGAGTTGACTATTCCGACATAACCGTATAAATGATGTTTTCCTGAATAAAGATGTTTTCTAATACATTGTAACACTAAAACATCCTCAACTATAAGTGTCGGTCACAATTCGTGGCGAGGAATAGGACACACTGCACATCTCCTAAGATGTTAAATTGTATGTTGAGAACGTCGACACTCAATGTACTATATCACGTATTTACAATAGCACATCTTGATACGGCAGATGTGTTAACAGATATCGTAAGTAAATTTTAGCTGTGTATGTTGTGATTTTAAGCTTTTAACTATGTTGTTTTGTTTATATTAAACGTTTTATCCTTATCAAGCTTTATTGCAAGCAAATGCTTTCTAACATGTGATTTAGTTACGTCGTCTTTTCTATATTTATTTTTTTTTGTAAGATTTATTTAGTTTTTAAGTTTTTTATGCTATTATTCTGTCGGATACTCAAAGCTTTATGCAATATACTTTTAATGTGTACTTATTTGACTATATTTTTTCTTATTTCTTTGACAAAGAAAAAAATGTACGTAGATTTGAAATAATCATAAGTTACAAATATTGATAGTATGGCAGAAAGCAACGAATTTTTTGCATGTATACCTATATTTTATTAATTTTTCAAACAGAACGTTAAGGAATTTATAGGTATTTGTCTATATCGTGAACCTTAGGTATTAAATAGAATTTTGTACTGGAATCAACGATCTAATTTGATTGACCTGTAATCTAGGGTCATATCTTTTCAGAAATACCCGAATTTTGAATATTCGAACTGAAGATACTGGTTCACGATATGATAAATCACCTCTAACTATATATCCGAGTGCACTTGTTAATATGGCTGGAAACCTTTTTGTAATTTATTTTCCATTTCTCTGACGTAATTGTCTATTGTTTTTTTATAAGCTGTGATGTGTTTAGTATTATCAATTATTCTATTTCGTTCATTTCTTGCTGGAAGAAAAGTACTTTATTATTCAATGGTGTTATTGGAAATTGGGCTGGACCTAACAAGTTGATGGATTAGAACCTTTATTGTTGTTGATTAAATTCAATTTATTTATTGTGCATAGGTATTGAAAGTCTAGGAGAAGAAATATGTTTAGAAGAGGTTATAACGTACATGTTTTGTATGAGGTTTAGAATACGTGGCGAGCTCATGTTCCATTTGAGCAATGTTCATATACATTTATAATCATTATATCTGTGTATTACGGAATTGTAATATCAAAAAATAAATAAATATACTATTAAATCGATTTCGCTTTTTATTAAAAATAGCGGAGGAAACGGTAGGGTAATCACACACTTACACCGTATTGGAAGTCTCTAAACTGGTTTAATCGAAGTTTCTTTATTCCTAGAACCTCCAGAATACGTGGCGAGCTCATGTTCCATGTGAGGAATGTTCATATACATTTATAATTATACTGAGTGACAAAAAAAGGTAAACACCTACGTATATTCATCCGATCCTAATAATTTTTGGTAAAATGATTAAATTTTCAGTTTGATTCATCAACTGACTGCAAAAGCTGGTTCAATAATGTGTTGAGGATCCAAGACTTCTTATACACTCATTGACATGCCTGGGCATCGTGCTGATAAGGTGGTCGATTCCTGTTGGGGTATCTCATTCCAGGCTACTGCAACTTCGTGAGTAAGAGCTGTTAAAGTCTATGGGGAGTGTTGCAAATTCAAGAGCTTGTGATCTATCATGTCCCAGACATGTTCAATTGGAGATAGGTCAGGGGGTCGTGGTGGCCAAGGTAAACGGTTGATGCGATGTTGATTCATTAATGCTAACGATGTTCTGACAATATGCGGTCTGGAAGGTATGGAATAAGATGAGACTCCACTGCTTACTGAATATAGCATCTGGCTGTCATATTGCCTCTGATGGAAATTAGTGGTGATCTGCTACCATGACCAATAGCACCCCATACCATAACTCCCACGGTGTGGTGAACGTGACGTTCTCTGTGACATTGTGGGTCGCGTCTTTCCCCACTTTGCCTTCTCACTCTTGCCCGATCATCGTGCATCTCCAGACAGAAGCGGGATTCGAAACTAAAGACCACCTGATTCTATTCCCGGTCCCATGGAAATCTTTCTCTACACCAGTGCAAACGGTTACGCCGATGTTCAGCTGTGAGAGGTAGCACCCAATGTGGGCGATAAGGGAAAAGGCCAAACAGTTGTATTCGGTGATATACTTCCATGCTGTTCAAACTACGGATTAGCGATGGCTCGACTACTACTGAATCTGTCTCTCAGAGCCAGAAGTCTACGCTGGCAGTCTTGTCGCTCTATGGTCCCAAACAATGCACGCAGCCACCACGAAAACTGAACAGAAAAACCTGACCATTTTATCACTTGTTGTTCATGGCAAGATAAATCAATATGTAAAAAATTCTTGAATTCTAATAAATATACGTAGGTGTTTACCTTTTCTTGTCACTCAGTATATATCTGTATTTCGGAATTGTATCATCAAAAAAGAAATAAATATTCTATTAAATCGATTTCGCTTTGCTTTAAAAATAACGGAAAAAACGGTAGGGTAATCACACACTTACATCGTATCGGAAGTCTCGAAACTGGTTTAATTTAAGTTTGTAGTGTGGGTTTTCTAATGTGTTATCTTCACAAAAAACCGTTATTCCTGGATCTTCCAGTTATAGCTACATGTGAACATTATAAGCAATATAAAGCTCAAAAGTGCCCCTTCTAAAAACACAACTGATAAAATTTAAAATATATTTCTCGCAAAACTTGAGAGATCAAGAAAATTTCCAAAAATTGTGGTTAACTTTTGGCGAGCTGTATTTACGTGAGTAATTGGTCGATTTGAGTTTAAACAAAAAGCAATTCGAAACTCCACGAGGTTTTAGATGGTCTGAGCCATACATTCTTATAGTCATTGTTCTCACGCAATCCTAAGGAATGTCGCGAAAAAAGTACATTTTTTCTGTGACACGCAACAAAATGTCGCTTTTTAAGAAATTAATTTTTTCCAGGGAGAAAACATTAGTACTTTTTCCCGGATATTCTATAAACGATTTAGCTGGCAATCATTTTTGTAACGCTAATTTGGCTATTTCTACTTATTCCGGTGGAGTCAAAAAAAAAACTCGGAATCAGACATTTTTTTACTTTATAATATTAAAAATAATGGCTAGGTTCACAATTTTTAAATTAACTCACAAAATTAAATTGACACTTATTTGATTACTTTAAAAGTTCCCTTAACAACCCAGGTCTAATTGTCGCTAAAAGTACAACATAGACTACTAATTTCATAATTCAAATTTCACATCGATAATTTTCTGACTTAAATATTCTAATGAAATAATTTTTCAATATTAAATCGTAGTTTTTCCCGTCACAGAAAAAAATTGTTTATTATACACGGGAAAGATACTAGATTTTTTAGTTAGCTAGTACTTTTTTCCTTTGTATAATAAATAACCATTGTTCATTGTTTCCACTGGTAGCTTAGCCACCCATAGTCGTACAAACGATCTAAGAGCAGTTTCGGAATCTGGGATAAGTTACCTTCAAGATCATTTGATAGTCTCTTAAGAAAAACATATTTTATCAATATAGATTTCGAACCGCCCAGCAAAGAAGATTTTTTTTTGCATTGCCTTCGTAAATATTTGCTAAAGTTGATGGGGAGGCTAATGTTACGAGGATTTTTCTCAGCTCAATGTATCCTCAAGGGCGATGCAAATCTGATCATCGAACGTGTTTCTTTGATTGATTGCTCAAAATGGAAAAATCAATTTTATACTCGATTTTTAACAATTCTGTACTTTTCAGTCGATATGGTCATACGTAATATCGTAAGAGCATCTAATTTTTCCGAAAAAAATTAAAAGAACACGTTGCTAAGTAATATTTTAACAAAAAGTATGAGTTCTGGTGCACAAATAAAAACAATTACTTTGTATTGTGTTTTTTCGATTTTGTTCACAGGAAAAAATTAGATACTCGAATGGTATTCGACAATACCATTTCATGAGTAACAGATTATTCTGCATACACATATCTTATTTATTGACAATAGAACCACAAAAATTGTTTAGCGCCGTTTTCTGGTGTCCTGGGAGATCATAATTACTTGTTAGCAAAGGTATTGTAATTGTAATTATTGTAAACTCGGAAAAACTTCTGGTAGGTGCTGTCATACAATTTTTCCGTCTAGAAACCAGTTGTAATTCAGAATTGCGCATTTAAGATTGGTAGAAATTACGACAAGGGGAAAAGTCACTGTAATTATGCGATAATTCCACACCTCTTTTAGCATTTTTTATGAATGAGGGAAATATTCTAGCCTAATAAAATATTAACTTTCCCAGTTTCACATTTTTGTGATTTGGTCGTTTGACTTTCGCAAGTATGGGATGTCCTTCCAAGTTGTTACAATATTTATAATAATAACTTTGGCTATGCAACGTGATGCATTTCACCATAATTACTTGTTATCTAAGATATTGTAATTTTTTGTGACAACAGCTATCAAGTTTTGCCGCGGGTAAACTCGAAAAAATTGATTACAGGTGTTGTCATACAATTTTTACATCTAGGAATCATTTGTAATTCAAAATTGTGCGTTTGTGACTGGTAGAAGGTAAGACGAGGGAAATAGTCGAATAAAACCGAAAAAGGGGTTTTCAAATAAAAGAACAATGTTGGACGAAGTTGAAGCTCTCAAAGCTAATAGCGATCTTCCTTTTTACGTTTGTGACTCAAATTTAACATAATTATGCTTTTGAGAACTAAGATCAAATCTTTATTTTCCATAGTCCATAGTCCCATTATAGCGCAAGGGTTGGTGAAATGAAAAACATGACGTTGAAGGAGAAAGTATTCGTTATAAAAAAATATAAAACAGTATGGTTTCCTCAACACCCCCCCCCCCCTCCTTTTAAATTCTAGAGTTGCATTTCAAGTATCACTAATCAGTTTTACCAGACATTCCGGTATTCCGACCTACTTCTCTGTTCTTGTTTCGTTACTATGGTTGCAAACTCGTTTCTTAATTTAATCAGGAAAAATCAATACATCAGTAGCCCCATCTACCTCACTGCTCAGATGTTAAAATGCCAACATACAGGATCTCGAGTTCCATTCCCCAGGGATAGTATTTAGTCTTGCATGAGACCGACAGATGTCACTGCGTGTCCCTAAGGTTGGATAATTTTCAGATCCAGCCGCGTGTAGGCATAAGCCATGTGGCATAAGCGGAACGACCATCGTATTTTTGCTCCTTGCTGGTAACTAGATAATGAATTCATTATCTAGATTTGATGGAATGTACTAGTACGTGTTTAGAAAGCGAATGTTATTTAGAGGTACAATTCGATATTGAAAAAGAAATACTAAGAAACATTAGGGAAGTAATTTAGATCTGAATTAGTGCCAGAATCCTGATCAAATTGTCTTAGGAGGAAGGGTTTTTTAAAGCGATATTTGTATGAGTAACACGTTAAACTTTAAGCTTAGGATGCTGTTGAAACACAGTCAGGTATCATATGTCATATGATTTTTCTCAAATGAGATGTTGACGCATAATTTTAAATGTTTGAGAGTCTTAGGCCCAATTTCACCAACAACAGTCCGTTATTCTCCACCAATAGGGTAACAGACCGTCAGATACAGCGAATGAGCTTCAAGTTCTAATCAACAAATTTTAGTAACCAATAGCTATGAAATGTTGAAAACAAAATACTGTCAAAGTATGAGATGACAACTTGTCACTGAAACATTACCAGCTTATTGAATATTAAGAAATTACATATAATTCAGTCAAAATTTTAAGAAATGTTTGATTTTTGAATTAAATTCATGTTTTAATTACCTACTATTGTTGATTTTTTATTCATGTTTATATTATTTTCTTCAATTGATATGTGATACTGGGTATTTTTTCCTATAAACCTCTTGCAGATAGCCATTAAGCACCTACTTGATGACAGGCTCTACCAAAAGATATTGCTCGTTTGGCACCTTAGATTGATATTCCCACAAAACCATTCAGGTTTTTTGATATCCATAAAGTTGAATATTTTTCGTGGTTCAGGACCTGAACAAACATCCACACTATATTCACAGCGATTAAGAAATTCCCAAATATATGCCTTAAAGCTACCAGCAAACCTAAAACCTGCAAAAAAATACAAATTTGAAATATTTTTCTTTTTTCACGAGTACACATTCTAGGTTATATTTATATTAGACATTATTTGAATA